CATAAGAGATCATAAATATCAAAGTGGGATGTCCTGATCTTTCCATCTCCAATTATCTTATGCTATTCTAGCAACCTAGTATCATCAATATGCAGTTTTTAGATTAACGTATTTATTTCAAATAAACAAATCAAGAGTAGCTAATTGTAAGAGGCCGAAGGTATCTTGTTTGTTGCAGTGCTACTGCAGCCTAATCAATTCTTCTATAGCTTATCAAGCTCACAAAGCCTCAAAACTTCATAGTCCACAACTGTAATACTTCTTTAGTCGTCCCCATCAGAGATGGATTGAGGGGACTGGCCGGGGCAGTCACTTATTCTGAAAATTTCAAACTGTCAATAAATTTTAGATATTTATATTGATTATCAATTGCTTTCTAACATTTTATAAGTTCACCCTAATATAAATTCATTCGTCCGTCCCAGATCTCGATGTCAAGTAGCCACATGAGCCCTAACTATATCCGAATATAAACCGGGTCGGACCCCTAGACCATTGGCATCCACAATATTTGAATCCACTTAGCTTAAGTGCATTCCAACTCCTTGACATTTGACACAACATGGTTTGATAATCTATCAGCAGATACACCATTTGCTATATTCCTATGGCTTCTTAGTCCTCATCATCATATGTTACTAATCAAAAAGAAAAAGAAAAATGATTTGTACTAGGAAGCCTTTAGCCCCAGAAAGAAAATGGCAAAGAGAAGACAGAGCATTTCGTTGGAAAGACAACCCGATGATAAGAATGTGTGTGTGTGTGTGTGTGTTTTACACTGGGGACGAAAAAGTAACAGTTTTTTTGGAGCTTTACCAGTCTGTCAACGGAACTGAAGAATCGTTGATACGTTTCAATGACTTTCAAATTGGTATAAACACAATGCTAACACATGGAATTTGATAAAAGCAAAAATCTCCTGAAAAGAATCCATGGATGCGACCGAAGAAGTTATTGCTGATACAAAATCTTTAAAAATCTACATAAAATGAAAACGGAAGCTAACGCTTACGACAAAAATGAAAAAAAAAATAGAGCTGAATGATCTATCACTAGTGTAGTTTACTTTAAAAGTTACATTTCCTTATCATGTTTTTCAATTAATTTTTATTTTTTATACTTGAAGAACATTTAATTTTCCAAAGTTTCATTTTCTTTGGGAAAATGCCTGAGGTTCATCGTCAACAATTAACTGATGCGTTTGGGATCCAGGCGGTTGATTTTTTATGATATTATTTGGGCCTTCCTCTTTATATAGACAAGAATAAAACTCTAGCTTTTGATTATTTGAGAGACAAGATTGTCACGAGAGTCACGGGATGAACCAAACGGCTCCTCTCTTATGGAGGGAGAGAGGTGTTCTTAAAGTCAATTGCTCACGCTTTACCCTAGTATGCAATGTCTTGCTATCTTCTCCTTGATCAGTTGCCTAATGAGATGAAATCAGTTATACGATAATTTTGGTGGATTGATAAGACCTCAGAACAAGGATGACCTCTTATAGCTTGGTCGACTACTTGTAAGCTAAAGCGACAACGAGGGTTAGGGTTGCGTGACCTCCACTTCTTCAACTTGGTTAGGCTCGGCAAGTAGGTTTGGCAGCTCATTATGTTTCCTGATTGCATGTTGTCAAGAGTGTTACGAGTGAAATATTATCTTAACAGAGATCTCCTTAATGCACCCATCATAGATAAGAGCTCGTTTACATGGAAAGACATTTATAAAACGATTCAAGCTTTTGATGGTGCATTCTACTGGCGGATTTGTGTGTACAGAAATCTCAATTTACTTCGGGACAAATGGGGTGGATCTAAGTTCATGATGTTAACAGATGACTACTCATCTTTACCCATACAGCGTTTCGCAGCACCTTTGTTTCAATATGCAGGGCGGCCGAGTTAGAATGAATCGAAAGTTCATGTCATCTTTCATGTTAATGATGCAAATACGATTCTTGCTACCTCTATTGCACCTAGCCAGGAGGAGGTGCTTGTGTAGAGTAATCATGATTCAGGTACATATTCTGTCCGCTTTGGGTATTGGTGACTTCAACGTCCGACGCACTCCCCTGAGTCAGTTTCAAGAGCTTGGCAAGCCTTATCAAAATTGCAAGTACTACAGAATATCCGAGTCTTTGTTTGGAGATTAGCACATGAAGGCCTTCCTGTTGGATGTCGTCTTCGAGAAGCTGGTTCATGGGATAGTACCCAACCTCCATGGCTACTTGTTCAAAATTTCAGGTCTCTCCACCAATACTACATCTCGGCCAGGAACCAAGCTAAAGGGAGATCGCATCGAGGCACCCACCAACCTGCAGAAACTACTAGGGCAATGGACGATGGATAGTAAGTACCCCCTGCTCCAGGTTATGTTAAGTTTAACGTCGATGATGCTTTTAATCCTCAACGTAGGTTAGTTGCGACTGGTATTGTTGCTCGTGATTTGGCTGGCTTACTGCTTGGTGGAATAGCTTTGTCGATGCCTTCTTGTACTGAAGCGGGCCTCTCGGAAATCCACGCTACTGTCGCTGGTATTAAGTTTGCTCAAGAGAATCAATAGTCCAGAGTTCTTTTTGAGACTAATTCGGTGTTAGTGGTCAACAAGTTAAAAAATGATTCGTTGGATCTATCCACTCTTAGATTTCATCTCTCTAAAACCCGTACAATTTTATCTTCTAATGTTTTCTTTCATGTTTTATTTGTCCCACGTCATTGTAATATGTTTGCCCATAAATTAGCTTCTTAGGCCCTTCATTCTGGGTGTTCTTTGTTCTTTGACTTGTTTTGTCTTGAGATTATTGCTTATGTTGTATCAAACGATATTGTTCCTACGTAATATATATTTTTGGGCACTCTTTTCTCTTATAGGTTCTAGAAAGGGTTTTTAACGAGGCTATATTTTTCAACAAAAAAAAGTTTCATTTTCCTCGTGCATTGGAGAAATTTGGAAATTACAATCCAGCTTACTTTTGAAATGCTCCATAGCCTTTCAATTTTTTTGGAGCTTAGAGGGTGCCATCGTGTAAATAATTGCAGACGTGCTAATGATCATTCAGCATGGATTCCCATTTCTCACATACCCCTGGCAATCACGTAAAAATGATTAAATTGCATGGAAATTTGTTTCTATCATCAATAGTTCTCAGTTTGTAGGAAAAAATAATTTCAGATTCCGTGCTCTGTTTCACCATGACAGTATGAAGTGATACAACGGTGGAATCTGCCGGACGGCGGGTTACAAGGATTCTCCCAACACGACAAAGAGTATAGCGCAGAATACTCATGAATCGCGAAAGAGAGAAGTGAGATTACAAGTTTTCCTGAATGACAGAAACATTTAAGACAAAATATATCAATAATAGCATATTTGATTATACTTCTATACAGAAAATAATTCTGCAAATATGCAAGTAAAGGATAAAAGATCATTAGCATTAAGTAATAGGCATTGCACACCAAGTTCCAGAGTTCTGCAACAGTCTATCAAGCACAATCAACAATATCTGTAAAGAACTATGAAGAAAAATCAAAAGCTTCTAAATGGTGGATAGAGAGTAAAGATAAATGAAAGGCACTACTAATTAAACATAAAAATTGGTCGATTCCAAGATACTTTCAGATTTACATCAACCGAACTCTCTCCTTTGTATTTGCGTATCCTTTTACCCTTCTTCCCGATTCACAAAAAAGGAACAAAACTTAAAAGCACTTCACTCTTATACTTAGTTTTGCATAAAATAACAAATCCCAGTAGACTAGCAATTTACAAGATTATGACTATATACTTTTAGTGCATACAAAAAAGGCCAAGAGGAAAACTGTGAACCTTGATCTTCTACTGGAGGCATGATCTGTGTGACATCAGAAAAGAACTAGCAGCACTTAAAATCAACATCATCTTATTGACAAACTGTTTTTTAGCTATGTTGCTTCTTGAAATCCCTCAAAAGTCCAAGCATCATCTTTAGAGGCATTCTAGAATTCCCATCAGGCTAAAATTCCCAAGTTGATTAGTTAAGGCATAAGGCACCATTGCACCAGATAGCCTTCCAACACCAAAGTATAAAGCAGCACAGTGGCATGAACCAAAATTCCCTAGCACTTCAAATTAATGCAGAAACCAAACAATTAGCCGTACTACCCCGTCAAATTAATGAGTTGCCTCCGACAGTGATTTATTAGTAAATTAATCATGTGGAATAGCACTTCAAAAATTATCACTAAGGCATCTTGCCTGCCAAGGCCAACAACCAAGCATCTCCTTCCATTATAATCTAAAGGAGAAGAACCAGGGAGTACCAGAAAAGAAAAACAACAAATCAAAACGTGATGAAATAGCTACAACCGAAATGGTACCAAAAATATAAAATAGTAACAGTTCAGTTAGTAAGCTTCTCTTATCGATGCTACTAGTAATGAAGGTAGTGCTAAATAACATTCCAGGTCCCATGTACGATCATCTAGGACATTAGGCTGATCAACCTCCCAAAGTGATAGATATTGTACCAAAACACAAATTGAAGAGAGTTCATTGGCAAAAGACTGAAATGTCATCACAGCATTTCCTCCTCGCAACAGATTAAAGCCTTAAGCATGAGACTCTCAGAATCTCATTACAATTTTCCAAGTCACGGGGAGACATGTTATCAACAATATCTTGAATCATAGGGAAATGTAAAAACATTGAACCTCGACTATGTGAAAATAAACAATCAACTTAAAATGCGTCTGATAAAAGCATGAAAATCTGACTTCCTATACCATACCATATCTACAATAAAATAGTTAGTCTTTTTTCTTTCTAAGAAAAGGGGAACTATTTTTTCTCATGGAATTAATCTTTAACTTGCACATGGCTGCTTAAGATTGAAATCTCTTGTATCACAGACGCACATTCTTTAATGGGAAACCTAGTAATAATTATCAACAATTTCCCAAATTCCCACCATCAAATTAAGAACAAAAAGAGAATTTGAAATAAACTTGAAAAGGAACTTGCTTATCTAATACAACAAGAAAAGGCTATCTCTTATGAACACTTTGCAATTGCATCTCAATCACTCTAGCATTGAACTCTCCATCACTAACCCTTAACATCTTCGACAATGGCAATTTAAACCCATGTTCCACCAAAGCTCTATGCCTTGGCTTAATCTTCTTCTCTAAACTAAACGAGAAATATTGAGGAAAAAATTTTAATTCCTCCAAGTCACCTTCCATTTCCTGTAGAAAAAACTCAACTTTAGGCCTCATATTATTCTCCACACTCAAAGTCAACAACCCGGGTGACCTCACCACCATCCGGTTCACCTCCGGCTCGTCAATACCCAGAGACCGAAGGAAATTAAGTTTGGGTTTCAGGGTGTGTTCCACGTTGGAAACTAAAAGAAGGGTAGTGTGAGAATTGACAACGAGTCCAAGGGAAGTGAGGAAATAGAGCGTCGGGCGGAGTTGGGTGGCGACGGAGGAGACCAAGAGGCGAGGGCAACGGGTGAGGGAGAGGGGGAGGTGAGGGGAAGGAAGAGGAACTTCGTGGAGTAGGAAGTTGATCGGAGGGAGGGGGTCGGAGGTGAGGAGGAGAGGGCACATGTCGAGGATACGGCCAATGGAAGGGCGAGAGAGGCCGACGGAGCAGAGGAAGCGTTCGACGGAAAGGAGGGAGGAAAGCGGGGTGGAACGGAGAGAAGGGTTTAAGGTGAGAGCTTTGTGGGGATTGACGTTTAAGGATTGGAGGTAAAGGAGCTTTTGGCGGAAGAGGAGACCACCGACTTTGGTTGCCGGTAGGGCGGTGGGCGGGTATTTGAGGAAGGCTTGAGGATAATGGAGTTGGAATCTGCAAGTTTGCATTGTTTTTAGTTCTGCGGGTGCGAAGATGGATTGCGGGAAGGACCCTTTAGGGGGTGTTTGGATTGGGAATATAGATTCCCATATAATGGAACTCACATTCCCCGTTTGGTTAGTTCGGGAATCCTATTTCCGATAATGTAAGATTATCAATAGTGGATTTTTTGGGCATATTACCGAGAATGTCATTACCTCCCTTTCCTTAGGTATTGTTGGATTACCGGCGTTTTGGACTAAAATACCCTTAAATTTTTATTTTTTTTCAAAAATATATTTCTTCTGTCATCGAATAATAAAAATTTTACAAATGTTAAATTACAAATTTATCCTTAAATTATTTTAGATTTACAAAAAAAATCTATAATTAAAATTTTATATGAAGTTCAAGGGTTAAAATAAAATTTTACCCTTTCATTAAACTTTTTTTTATTTTTAATTTTGTAAAAAATATATAAATATTATGAATTTAATTTTTTTAAAAGAAAATATATAAATATTTTCCAACTTGTAATATTACACAAATATATAATTAGGACAATTTGGTTAAATATACATTCCAATAATTTTTTATTCCTTTAACCAAACACGGTAATCTTACATTCCTGTTAAGCCAACCAAACACAAAATATAACATTCTCAGTAATGCTATTCCTTAGTAATCTTACATTCCCACTGATAATCTTATATTCCGTGAACCAAACGCACCCTTAGTGATTTATTTATAGGTAAACTGTTTATATAGTCACTAAACTATGGAGTTAATTTTATTTTATCTATTAAATAACAACTATTATCAATTATGTCACTAAACTTTTAATTTAATTTCAATCAAACCTCGTAAAAGCCACATGCTAAAATAAAAAAATATATATAAACACTAATATTAAATAAAATATATAATACTAAAATAAATAAATTATATATCTAATAACCGTTATACTTTGGATATGACCTCTAGAAATATTCAATTCTCAATTAGAAAATCTCGATGAAGCTGTCAACCCTTTGTCAATTAAAGTCTTCAACCAATCACTCTGCTTACCAAAGGATGCAGTCTTCTAATCAACTAATTGCATATAAAATACCTTTGATAGGCTCACATCATACGTTAAAATGAAATCTAAAGTTGATTTGATAAAATTTAAAGTTGGACTAATAAATTCTCCTAACTTGTTAGTTTATAAATAACTAAAATGATCATATATTTAGGGGAATCCCGGATACCTACATTTTCGGATACACAAAATGTCGGGTACCCTAGACTTTTGGGTCACAAAAGTTCGACCCATGGCCCTACCCGTAAGAGGTAGGTACCCATAATCGGGTATCCGTAAAACTCGAGTACCCATATTTCGAGTAATGAGTACCCAGTTGATATTTATTTATTTTTATTTTATTAATTTATATTAATTTTTTTAAAATGTACATAAAAATAAAATCTAAAACTTAAAATTTATAATACATAAAATTTATAAATTCAAATTATATACCCTAAAAATAAAAAATAAAATATAAAAATAAAACAAAATTATAAAAATTATAAATTTACAACTAAATTTAAAACAATTTAATATTAAAAAGAAATAATCTAAGAAATAATTTAAATGTTAAAATGAAATAATTTAAAAATAGAGATTTAGAATATAAGGGCAAAATAATTTTGAAATTATAAATGAAAAATTTAATTTAAAATAAAATTGATAATAAAATAAAAAGGGAAACAGAGTCGACGGATGAACGAATGTCCGATTAAGGCTAATTTTGTGACCCGAACCCAATCCGAAAATTAGCTAAAAATAACATGTCAGATATTTGACTCGTAAAATCGGGTACTTACTTATAAAATAGCAGGTAATTTTTTAACAGATAAGCGAGTCGATGGGTCGGATAGTTCGGGTCGGGTATTTTTGAACACCTACCTGCAGACACCCATTTTGTTTGGGTTATTTATATTATTATTATTTAATATTTATTATTATTTATTTATTTATTTATTTATTATTATTATTATAAGTTTTTAGTACAGGCCCAAAACAAGGAGCCCGAATCTAGGTTTGGCCCAGGAAGGAGCTAAGGTTTTCACCCTTTGGATACACAGCATCCGCATTTCAGTCATTGGATCAGATTGGATCCAATGGTCCCAATTAACTCAAACTAGGGTTTTAACCTAAATGCTTGAACCGCCACGCGCCAAGCCGTCGCCACGCGTTCTCCACATGAGATGCACGCGCCCGTGCTTCTTCACTGCCCAAGAACTGCCACCACCGGATTCGTCGTCGGCTGCCTTGGGCGGACGGAGATAACCTCGGGGTAAAATATATTTACCCCTGTGTTGTCGTCACATCTGAGCTTCACTCCTTGGTCAGATCGCCAAATCCGAAAGAAGCAAAGATAAAACACAAAAAAGCAGAAACAAAGGAAGCAAAATCAATCCCATAAACATGCAACGAAAGGAAGTCAAAATAAAAGGCCCTCTATATGATCACATCACCAAGAACAAAAAGAAAACAATCAAGAGAGAGGAAAGAAAATACAACCAAAAAAATTGGAGACCCCTTTAGAATATAAAAAGAAAAGAAAGAAATAGCAAGGGGGAAGCTTACCACACTATCGAAGCCAAAACGTCGCTGGAGACTATCGTGTTTTTCGAAAGTATCCCTTCGATCTCGCATAGATCTAGGACGATAGGGGTGCGTTTAGGTTTAGGGGGTTCAAGTTCGACATTATAGTAGAAAACGAGCATTTTGGGGTGATTTCTCTAACTCCGGCCGCTATGGACGGCGGTGGAGCGCTTCGACGAGAGGTGGTATTGTTAAATTACCCTCCCCATGATGATGCTATTTTAGGGGGAGGGTTTCTGCGTTTTGGGCGCATAGAAAATCATTCCCGCAACCCTTGTGTATTGTAAATTTGCAATGTGGTCTCTACAATGAATTTTTGTTTATTTTAATTTGGATTTCAAGTTTTACTTTGTTTTTATTTTACTCACTGACCTTATTTACACGTGTTTTGGGTAAATATTTGATTTAGTCCCTATATTTTAATATTTTCCATTTTAATCTCAATCTGTGATGATTGTTAAATTACATTTCCAATACCTATCTTGCGTGTTATTTTTGTTTATGGACATTACTTTTTCTTATTTTACAGTTTAATCCTTAAGTTTAATATTTTTAATTTTGAATGGTTATGGGCTTATCTACGATCTTGGTGCCTAGTTTGTGTATTATTTGCACTGGTTACCATAGTTTTTACTGTTTTTGCAATTTGGTCTTTAAAATTTCTGTTTATTTTAGTTATACCTTAATACGACCTATTTGACTTGTGTCGTGTAGTGTCGTGTCGTGTTTTAGTCTCTCTGGTTGTATGTTACTAGGTAGTTATTAAATGGGTATGGGTTCGATCAATATATATATATATATATGTATGTATGCATATTAGTACTTTTTTAATATCGAAAATATTATTTTGTGCGAATAATTTATAGAAACGTGCCTTAACTGACAATGAGTGTATTTCCAAAAATTGTTCAAGCAAAATAATACATTTTATATCCGAATGAATTTTTTTTATGTAATTAATATATGTATTTTATCTAAAAATTTGGGCAATATTATTTTGTAAGGAGATTCCATGGAAATACCCCCTTAACTAACAAGGAAAATATTTTCGAGAATTATTCATACAAAATAATACCTATTTTATTTTTTCTCAAAAATGATCACAATTTAAATGTATATTCAATTTTGCTAATTTTGATATTTAGATGATGTATAATCGCTTAGGTACCAATTTCGGGCATTGTGGGGGTTCTAATCATTCCTCACGCGTAATCGACTCTCGAACCATTTTTTTCGAAACGAATCTCTTGTTAAACACATGTCATTTTTTATCTTTTAAAATTATTTTTCTTAAAATTATTTTAAAATGTTTTTTAGGTATTCAACCTACCTAACCCAAAGGTCGATGTCGACTCCAAATTTCTTATTTTTACATTTATTTTGAAACCCAACATTTTCCAAGATTAAGTTGGATCGATTCCCAGAATAGCCCTAAAAAGCTTAAGAATTGTTATGACAGCTTGGCGACTCCACTGGATACATTAGAGAGTCAGGCCTTAATCGATTATATGTCATCTTTTTAGCTGAAAATGGAAAATTTGAATGATATTTAAATTTTTGATCCTTGTTTTGTTTACATTGCATCGCATCATACATTTTTTTATTTATTAGTTGTACTAATGTGTGATTTACATGTTTCATATTTTTGACCTTTTGTTTTAGTCTATTGGTTTTTGGATCGAGACAAGGGATTGTGAGTTTCCCCCAATCGAGCCATAATCGTTCGAATATTTAGAGTCTTCTAATTGTGCTCTGCCCCGTTAGGTAGAGGTGAACGCTACGATTACGTGAGAAAAATTATTTTTCTCTGCATGGGCTTTAGCAAGTAGCCTCTGGGGTACATATGTCTTGTGTTTACGAGTGAAACATTGAGTTTCCTCGCATGGACATAAGAAAACGCATCCTCTCGAATTGAACTCGACCATTTTAAGCCTATAATGGGTGGGATCTAGGGTCTGATAGGCCCAAGGGGGCACCAACAAAGAACAATTCAAGGACCTTGTTAGTAATACCGAAACTCTGCTCGTTTCATACTGAAGTTCTTTCCGCTGTTCTTCAAAATTCAAAAAGGGAAAACTCACTCTAACCTTTTTATCGAATTTATTTATTTATTTTTAAAGTATGAGAACTAGAAGAGTATGCGGTTAAGTTCATTTTTTTCATACAAGCATGCGAACTAGATGGCACGAGGTTAGGATTTATATGCATGGGGGGTAGAGAACATGTTTGGGTAGGATTTATCATACCATGTATAGGTAATCTACTTGTGAGGGTAGGTTTTATTTGATGCTTATAGTACTTACTATCTTGTTGTTTATCTTATGTGTACTAACCCATTTTTGTTATATGTCTATTTTGATTTTATTGCATTTGCATCTTCATGTC